GTAACATCAACAACGGCAGAAGCCGCAATAACAGCAGCAGCAGCAACAACAGTAGTAACAGTAACAAAAGCGGTCGCACCAACAGTGCCAGTAGAAACAACAGCAGCAACTGCAACAACATTAGCAGCAGCAAAAGCAGTAGCAACAACAACAGCAGCAAACAAGAAAAGAAACAGCAAACAACAAAAAAGAACAACAACTAGAAAACCACCACCGCCACCACATACCTGGCTTGTAACACTGGTACCATTCATCGTGGTGAAGGAGCCTCCCTCCAGTATGGAAATGTGCCCTCAGCGCTGAGAGCTACTTCTATCGCTCCCTGGCTCAGTTTGCACCCTGCACTCTACCCCCAGTGCTGAGAGCTACACCCTGCACTCTACCCCCAGTGCTGAGAGCTACACCCTGCATTCTACCCTCAGCGCTGAGAGCTACACCCTGCACTCTACCCTCAGTGCTGAGAGCTACACCCTGCATTCTACCCTCAGCGCTGAGAGCTACTTCTATCGCTCCCTAGCTCAGTTTGTACCCTGCACTCTACCTTCAGCGACCACCAACAGTCTCACTCATCAGACGGTCAACGGGGAGGCATGGTCTGGGACCGGGGCGCGGGGACGATGATTCCCATGAACCATCTTTAGGTACAATAAGTTTGTGGCACTTCATGACACTCAGGGACATACCCTCTGGTCCAGGCTACGAGGACAGACTGAAAATAAACAGCTCTTCAGTCATTCTAAATAACCACTATACATTGGTTATTATTTACATAAATATAGTTCAGTATTTCTGAGAGTTAGAGGCATGTCCTAACTTACTGAAATTCTAGCTACATTAAGTAAATAAACAGCAGAATTAATGTTATAAGTTGCGTAGCAGCACATACCTATCCATGAATGTATCAGGAAGAGAAGGTAGTGAAGGAGGGGACCCTCTAGTCTATATAAATTTAAATGTACATACATTGGACCCAGGGAGCTGGGGACTAGGTTGATCGATTAACGGTTAACAGTCGGGACCCAATGGCTGCAACTCCGTCCTTGTAAACACTGTTGATTACATTCGCATTTTACGTATATACACGCACACAAAAATTCTCACAGTCCACAAGAGATCTCGAGGTGCCTTGATGATGGTGTGGAAGTCTTAATCCAAGGAATTGGACCTGTCATTTTCCCTTCCTTGGATCGAACGCTATTGCCTCCCATCCCCAGGCACTACATGAACCCGAGGGATATTGTAATAATAATAGTAATGATAATAATAATGATAATAATGACGAGAGCAGCAGCATTAGCAGGATGGAGCATGGGCATAATTTCGCTAAGTCCAAAGGTTTGCAGCCAAGGTCGTCCCGGAACCGAGGTGTATGCAGGATGAGGATAAGTTGAAGGAATGAATCTTGCGACCTTGAACTAATTCTACTTAAGCGATTATAACAGCATAAAAAATAAGAGGAATTGATATGGAGCATAGGGATAGACTGCTTGAATTAAGAGGATCAGGGACAAGGTGACATAAGTGGAAGCTAGAAACAGATGAGTCACAGGGATGCTAAGAAGTACCTTTTCAGTCTCGGGGCGCTAGGGAAGCGAAATAAACTGGATGTGGTGATGGTGAAGGCAGACTTCATATACAACTTTTAGAGTAGGTATGATAGGGCCCAAGAGCCAGATACCATCAAATCCAGTCGATTAAGTTGGAGCCAAAAGCTCCAAACAAACAAATCGGTGAGTACACACGCCTACACCCACACACGCACCAATAATGCCAAGTAGTTTTTGCTAACTCACATTCACTAAGTGGACAGTGATTGCACACATCCCAGCATCTGCATTGTGTCGCACAAGATTTCCATTATTGCTCAAATTCTCCGCTACTCAGTTCCTCATATTTTATTACTTAAAGTGCAACATGGCACATGAAGTCGTGTTCGTTTGGTATTCAGAAGTTTCCTGTACAAGACTGAATATATTATAAAAGTTCCCGGTGCTGAACATTGTGTCATCGCTTGATACTATCTACACCTAGTTTGTGTAGTGAGCCAGAGTGTAGCACCTGGGACTTGCGGGAGGTAATGCCATTATCTCTACTGCTGGTATTCCACTCGTACCACTCATATAACAAATCTACTTGTACAAAAGGCTTTTGATATATGGCCATTAGTTATCTGCCTAGTCTTGAGACGTGACCGTTGGCAACTCACTTAGTGGGTGTGGTGACCTAAGCCTTGATACTTCTAAAACTACAGTAACGTAATGCACGTTATAATACATCACTCACTTCGATTTCTTTTTGGAATGAAACACTATCAAAACATGTATAGTAGCAGAATGATGAAGAGTGTCTCAGAAAGCCGGTGAAGAGGAAGGAGTTTGTGGCAACTACGGGAACTGGGGAGGGGTCGGGGGATGAGGATCATACAGGGGCCTCAGTCTCCCTCTGGACAGTGTTGTGTTGGGACTGGCATCTTGCGCTCCGGGATAATTGTGTGATTGTGGTGAGTGTTTGTTGAATTTTGTTGTAATTTGAGTACAGGAGGAGTGCCATTGTACACAGTGGAGGCTGGAGACGTGCGTGCCCACGAGCATGGCGTGTGTGATGCAGGAATGGTGATGCTAGCTTCTAGCAACCCCCCGCCCGGTGCTCACACCATGTTGTGCTCATGCCATCAAACGCCGAAAATATTTACATCTTTACATTCTCATAATGCCTTACCTGCGTATAAATTATAAGCGTAACTCGCCTTCACGCTCACAAATGGCCGATTTCAAGCGCTTTACGCACGCGGCTAAAGTTAGAAGACCATTTTTCACCTCTGATCCAGTGACCACACATATACAAAAAAAAAAACATTCAATTAAAACCCGAGAATGAATGAATTTTTGACCCACCAGACAATTTGGGCGTAATTGTGGGACTTCACCTGTGTGACGATTGTCAAAAATAGGGGTAATAGTGGCAGGCACGTCGGGAGAACTTGAGAAATAGCTTCCATGTGGGAGATAACTTTCAGACAAAGACCACTGCAAGTTGAGATAATGATATTCTTGCTCTCTGTTAGTTTGGAGAAAGAAAATGAAGTAAAATGAGGAAGAGAGAATGTCGGTGAGTAATACCGTGGCGGTGGTGAGTGTTTATGAATGTTTGGGTAGTGTTAATGTTGATGAGTGTTTGGGTAGTGTTAATGTTGATGAGTGTTTGGGTAGTGTTAGTTAATGTTGGTGAGTGTTTGTGAATGTTTGGGTAGTGTTAGTTAATGTTTGGGTAGTGTTAGTTAATGTTGGTGAATGTTTGGGTAGTGTTAGTTAATGTTGATGAGTGTTTGGGTAGTGTTAGTTAATGTTGGTGAGTGTTTGTGAATGTTTGGGTAGTGTTAGTTAATGTTTGGGTAATGTTAGTTAATGTTGGAGAGTGTTTGTGAATGTTTGGGTAGTGTTAGTTAATGTTGGTGAATGTTTGGGCAGTGTTAGTTAATGTTGGTGAGTGTTTGTGAATGTTTGGGTAGTGTTAGTTAATGTTGGTGAATGTTTGGGTAGTGTTAGTTAATGTTGGTGAGTTTGTGAATGTTTGGGCAGTGTTAGTTAATGTTGGTGAGTGTTGATGAATGTTTGGGTAGTGTTAGTTAAGTTTTGTGAATGCTTTGATTGTGTTAATAAATGTGGGTGAGTGTTTATGAATGTTTTGGTTGGTAATAAATGCTGGTGAGTGTTTATGAATGTTTTGGTTTGTAATAAATGTTGGTGAGTGTTTGTGAATGTTTTGATAAGATTCATAAATGCTGGTGAGTGTTTATGAACGTTTTTATGATATTGGTGGGGTTTTACGGATGTATTTCTAATATTGACGAGTGCTGAGGGAGGTTTTTGTAATGTTGAGTGTTGAGGAGTTTTTTGGTGTGTTGGTAGTATTTAGGAATGTTAGCGAGTTATTTTTTTATGGATGCCGGTGAGTGTTTACGAGCATTTTTTGATGTTATTGAATGTTTGTAAATGTTATTGTGATGTGAGTGTCTTAAGTGGGTAGTGTTACTTGAGTGTTGGTGAATGTTTCTTGAGTGTTTCTTGAGTGTTGGAGTATGCTTCTTGGGTGTTGGCGAGTGTTTCTTAAGTATCGTTATGTTAATAGTATAAAATACCGAGACGTTTCGCCTTCTCAGTAGGCTTCTTCAGTCTAAACACTGAGGAGACTCATCTTCTTGAGTGTTTATTGTATGTTGGTGAGTGTTTCATGGATTTTGGTGAATGTTTCTGAGGGTGTTAGTAGTGGTGGGTGTTTTACAGGTGGAGGTGGATGCATCATAGGTGGTGGTACTGGTGGTTGTATCACAGGTGGTGGTGGTAGTGTTGGGTGTATCACAGGTGGTGGGTGTGTCACAGGTGGTGGTAGTGGTGGGTGTGTCATAGGTGGTGGTAGTGGTGGATGTATCACAGGTGGTGGTTACCTGAAGGTTATTCCGGGGATCAACGCCCCCGCGGCCCGGTCCATGACCAGGCCTCCCGATGGATCAGGGCCTGATCAACTAGGCTGTTACTGCTGGCCGCACGCAGTCCAACGTACGAGCCACAGCCCGGCTGATCCGGCACTGACTTTAGGTGTCTGTCCAGCTCTCTCTTGAAGGCAGCCAGGGGTTTATTGGCAATTCCCCTAATGCTTGATGGGAGGCTGTTGAACAGTCTTGGGCCCCAGACACTTATTGTGTTTTCCCTTAGTGTGCCAATGGCGCCCCTACTTTTTATTGGGGGTATTTTGCATCGCCTGCCCAGTCTTTTACTTTCGTAGGGAGTGATTTCTGTGTGCAGATTTGGGACCATTCCTTCCAGGATTTTCCAAGTGTAGATTATGATATATCTCTCCCTCCTGCGTTCCAAGAAATACAAGTCAAGTGCTTCCAAGCGTTCCCAGTAGTTAAGGTGCTTGACAGAACTTATACGTGCAGTAAAGGATCTCTGTACACACTCTAGATCTGCGATTTCACCTGCTTTGAATGGAGATGTTAATGTACAGCAGTATTCCAGCCTAGAGAGAACAAGTGATTTGAAAAGGATCATCATTGGCGTGGCATCTCTCGTTTGGAACGTTCTCATTATCCATCCTATCATTTTCTTTTTTCGTGCGATCGTGCCACTGTTGTGATCCTTGAAAGTGAGATCCTCAGACATTACTACTCCCAGGTCCCTTACATTATTTTTCCGCTCTATTGTATGGCCAGAGTCTGTAGTATACTCTGTTCTAGTTATTATCTCCTCCAGTTTTCCATAACGGAGTAGTTGGAATTTGTCCTCATTGAACATCATATTGTTTACCGTTGCCCACTGGAAAACTTTGTGTATATCTTCTTGGAGGTTAACCGCGTCCTCAGCAGATGACAGCCTCATGCAGATCCTAGTATCATCCGCAAAGGATGATACGGTGCTGTGATGTATATCTCTGTCTATGTCTGATATAAGGATGAGGAATAAGATGGGGGCGAGTACTGTGCCTTGTGGAACAGAGCTCTTCACTATGGTAGCCTCCGATTTAACTCTGTTGACCACTACTCTTTGTGTTCGATTTGTTAGGAAGTTGAAGATCCATCTTCCCACTTTCCCAGTTATTCCTTTAGCACGTATTTTATGGGCTATTACGCCATGATCGCATTTGTCAAATGCTTTTGCAAAGTCTGTGTATATTACATCTGCATTCTGATTTTCTTCCAGTGCATCCAAGGCCATATCATAGTGGTAGTGGTGGGTTTGTCACAGGTGGTCGTAGTGGTGGGTGTGTCACAGGTGGTGGTACTGGTGGGTGTACTGGATATTTTTCCTACACTTTAAATGACATTCTAACAGGATTGGAGAGTTCTAACACATTTACGCTGGATTCAATCCACAAAAGTCAGTTGACATACAGTTAGCAATTTTTACTACTGGATGGACAGGGGCAGCAGGTGCATAAGAAATGTTGCTCATATGTTTCTCTGTGCCAGGGAGTTGAACCCGGGACTTGGTAATTGAGTCGAGTGCTCTCACCAGAGCGTTCCGTTATCGGATCTGTGTTGTACCCCGGGGAAACTCCTTAGACCTCAGAAGTGCCGGGTGATGATGCTTTGCCTATACGCGTGGCAGCTCGCATGACAAGGCCTAGGGCGAGGCTACAGTTGGGTGAGGCCTGCAGTGAGGCAACACAATGAAGGCTACGTCCCACCGAAGCTTTTGACAGGTTTGGTCCAAGTTTTTATACTCCTGGGCTCCAGGAGTATAAAAACTCAAGAAACTCATTCATGGTATGCGAAAACCCGGTGAATACATCCTAGGTGATGGTGAGGTGTATTGCAGGGGGTGGGTGAGTGTATCATGGGTCCAACTGGTAAAAAAGTTAGAACACCATCTGTCTTTATTTTCATTTATATCTCTTGGGCACGCAATTTGTCCAGTGTTCCACATGATAGCATTTGTGGAAGGCTTTCATGAAGCTTGTATATATCAAGTGCTGGGGCTGATGCAGTCTTTTTGATACCTTGGTCTTATATCATTTAAAAATAATTTTTTTCCAACTTGAACTCACTGCCGCGAATCCTGTCTTGGTTACATATTTTTAGTACGATATTTACATCCCCATTATTTATTTCTGTTTTTCATTTATACACCTCAATCATACCCTCCACCCCCACCCCACCAAATTCTACGCCTTTCTAGAGCGTGCAGATTCATTACCCTCAGTCTGTCCTCTTAGGAAAGATTTCTGTTACAAGGGGATCATGTTTGTCATCCTGTCTGCGTTTTGCAGCGCGTTTTTGTCCTTTCTGTAATACGGTGACCAGAACTGCAGCATAATCTGAATGAGGCCTAACCATCGATAAATAGAGTTGAATAACCTGATGACTCTTCTTATTTATACTTCCTGATATGAAGCCAAGAATACTATTCGCTTTATTGTGAACACTTACGCACTCTTGTCTTGAATTTAAATTACTACTAACCAGAACTCCTAAATCATTTTCGCATTTAGATTGATTAAGTTTTACATTATCTAGTTTATAAGTACCATGGTTATTTTCTTTTCCAAGGCTTTGAGTTCTCCATTTGTCTATATTAAACTGCATCTGCCACTTTTCCGACCACTGCTTCACTCTATTCAGCTCTTCCCCAGAGTTTCGTTTTTAAGTTAAGATCGTTTAATCGGATCAGCTGCAAAATTTCAGCGTTGCTTTACAGTAACTAGCGAAAGGTTCGTGCAATTATTGGCATGCTCAAGTGCCGTCTGGTCACTGTTATGTAAATCATTCCAGGATTCTTGGAATGAATCTTATAATTTTAAAAAGTCCCCCTTTATTTCAAACATTCAACACTAGTGTATTATACCTGGAAGGCTGAAAGTGTTATTGAAATGTGTAGATGAACATTTGTTAATTTTATGTATAAAATACGTAAATATACCGCACTTAAGAACACTTCTTTTGTATAGCTTCAGTTTTTAACATGTTTATTATATACAGTACAGGAGAGTACCGGCAAAGTT